GAGATGTACACACACACACACACACACACACACACACACCCCTTTGTGGAAAGCAGTGAGAGGTGAGAGTGCTGTTTATACCTGGCGTTGACGGTGCTGTCTGGCAGCAGGTGGAGGCAGGCTGAGGGAGGGCTGAAGAGAAGAGAGCTGTTTGAAGCAGTGCAATATTCACAGCGATGGCCTGGCCAGGGCAGCAAAGATTAACTGTTGGAATGAAGCAACTAGGGGGCGGGGTGGAGCTATCTGAACAACCTGACAGTCAAAGGGGGCGGGGTTTGTGCATGGCTGCCATGGCAACAGCAACTGTCGAGGCCCCTGGCCCAAGGCTGGCCTCCCCAGGCCCTGCACAGGTGTGAGGCATCTGAAGGCACATTTTGCCCCGGAGCAAGATATGACAGCCAAGTATCTACAAATGGCCCCTGGGCCCCCTCCCCCAAGATATGACAGCCAAGTATCTACACACGATCCCCGGGGTCCCCCCTCCTCTCCTTCCCAAAAGAACGTGAACTCTTGGCTAACACTGTAGAGAAAATAACCTATAGAGAAAATAATTAATCCCTCCCAAAATTACTGGCTCCCAATCAGATTCAAGAAAACTCTCACCCAAGAGTTGCTGTGGAGATAATTGTTCTGAATCTATCAATATGGCTAAGCTGCCCCTTCATTGACTGCAAACAACCATTTCTTTCACCCGGGATTATAAGTCGGTGTTCACAGGCTCACTGCTGCCGTTACGGTGATAAACAGTTTAAACCACAACAGGGTCTGACATGTAGATCAATTCTGGGTCCATAAAGAATCTCTACACAACAGCTTCTAGGACAGGAATTTACAGCTACCAGTTTTTATTCCCTCTTGCTGCAAAAATTACTTCTGTCAAACACTTAGGAGAGTGAGGAAAAATGTAAAAAAATTAATTTTTCATGTACTACGGGAACAGCCTTTCCCAACGCCGAGGCTCAAGATGAATATGTTTCTGCATTTAAAAAATTACGCCGAGCGGCATGTGGGGCTCCGCCAGAGAGGGACCCAGTCCTTCTCGCCCGCTCGTCAGCCGGCAATCGGAAACCCTGAACCGAGCTGTCTGGATTTCCTCTAAGGGCAGACGCGGGTCTCATGTTAGCAACGCCAAATTATATTAGACGTTTAATTTTAAACCTCAGGTACTTAATGTAAAACCTTACAACAGTAATAGTCATAAAGCAGTGGGAGAATCCATTTCACGGAATGGATTCTCCTTCTCCTTCCCCCTCCCCCTACCCCCTTAATTTAACCGGAGCCGCCAGTTTTGTAGTTTTGCACACTACTTGGTAATCTATCTAATTAGGAGTTGCTCACAGCTGCTGAAGAGAGAGACCCCCCCCCCCCCCCCCCCCCCCCCCCCCCCCCCCCCCCCCCCCCCCCCCCCCCCCCCCCCCCCCCCCCCCCCCCCCCCCCCCCCCCGAGATCTACACTATAGCCTACACTCTTTCCCCCCCCCCCCCCCCCCTCCCCGGGGTACCTGTGTGCATAGAGGGTCAGCCTTTGAAAAGTTCTCTGGAGCCAAAGTCTTAATTTAGCGTGGACGACGAGGGGGCAGACAGAAACTGACTCCTGATGTTGTTGTTCTCATGTTTGATAATAAAAGTGTATGACAGTGAGAATTCAGGGGCGTCTGGATTCAAAGGCTGCTTACCTTCCCCCGTCCCTGTTGCTAGCACAGTTAGGTAAGCTTTCCTGATTCTGACATCCACACCAGAGACTCGAGGGGGAAAAAAAGAAATAAAATGATTAAAAAAAAAAAAAAGAGGGTGGGATTTGTAACAACTGCAACGTATGAGAGAAAAGCTCGTAATCATGTTTGTTTCTTCTGTGATTCTTTTCCAACGCGGCACAGAATGTGGAGGCCCAGGTCGAGGTCTGGAAAGCCATTCGTAAATGCATTTTCTTGAAGTCGCCTGCCAGATCTCGTGCCCTGGCGTTCATTAAAAACTGCTCTGGGTCTGGCCACTTGATAGATCACGGAAGGCGGGGACGGGGTCACCAGCAGGAAGCCGCGACATCAGCCTCGCTGTAGGGGCCCAGGGTTCTCCTGCGTGCACCCGAGTACCCCTGGGGTACCCCGCCCCCCACCTGGCAAATCTCGGAGGAGCCTGGGTGGCTGCGCTCCTAGCCAGAGCGGTGGCTCGCAAACGTCGGCATGCAGCCTCGTTCTGTGGGGGCTTGGAGCACACGGCGTGCTGGACCCGGCCCATCTCCAGGAGCACTGGTGTGGCCCTCAGGCCTAGAATCAGGCCAGCCCTGTTTTCATCCCGTCCTCTGCTGGTGTGACTTTGGACAAGGGGCATGTACCGGACCAGAGTCTCCCCGCCCATCAAAGATATCTACTCCCCGGATATCGAATGAGATAACCCACGCGAAGCCTCGTTATTTTCCTTTTCAACCGAGCCTTGGTTGTGATGCGCCACCAATCCCTAGGAGATACTCTACTGTCTTTCACGGTCTTCACTGTTTAAGGTGACGCCGGCTCTAAGCCTTACGATTAAGATGCTAACTAATTTTGCCGTGCTGGCCTCTCCCCAGCCTTCTGGTCCTGTCTGAGCAGGTTAGCCCTGCGCATTCCCGCCAACGCTTTGTGTCACTGCCGCTCTGTTTCTTTTCCCCTTCTCCTCTCTGAGCCTTTGTCCAAACTGCCTCAATGCTCATAATAACTTCCTCTCGCGGTGTGGCGCACACACACACACACATGCGCCTGGTCCTTTAAAGCATTGCTCGGGTCTCATTGACTCGAAGTTTTCCTTGACGACTCTTATCAACCCTTAAAACTACCTGCACCATTCAGCCCCGGGCATTCTCCCTAACTCTCCATCCGGACCCCCTGGCAGGGCGGAGGGGGGGCCGACTCGAGCTCCCCAGCTCCCGTGTTCAGGCTCTGTGGCGTCGGGGAGCCTAGACTCTAACATACATGCTGCGCGGAGGAAGAAGGGGCACTCGAGGGCGTGAATGCAGGAGAGATCGCTCTGTAAACGTAAGGACAGCGCTCGTAGGTAGGCGATCTCAGTCTCTTACAGGGACTTTACGAATGTGTGTGTACAGACCACCGTGATCGTCTCCCGCAGAACGACACTTCCAACCAAACCCAGGGTCTGGAAATACCGCAGACCCGTGCTTCAGGGTGGAGGTGTGCCCTGCGAACTCGCGCCTAGCCGGGCGCAGAGAGACGTGGCGTGGAAGAGACGCGGGGACTGTGAGGGAGAGAGCTGTACAAGAGAAAGTTTGCACAGAATGGATTTAGATGAATATGCTGCTTCCCATGCCCTTCCTATAAAATATTCTGAGCAGGGGGGAGGCAGAAATGGGGGCGGTGGGCTTTCTCAGGAACTTAGCTCTTTTATACGCCCCGCCCTCCCCCCCGGCCCCCCAGACAGAACTCCCATCGCACGTCGGCAGAACTTAAACCCTGTCCCTCTGCTCGGGCTGTGCTGGTAACCCCACAATGCAGAGGAGGAAAGCTCTAGAAGCCTGACAAGGTGGGGCCAAGGCACTGCACACTGGGCTCTGGAAACACTTCTGCAGAAAGGCCGGGCCACGGAATAAACCCAACTGGCTGGTTAATGCTGACAGAAAAACCCAACTGGATTCCAGATATCTGATACTACGGTAATTACGTGAACGGCTTGCTCCTCCTGGAAATCCAAGTCACTGTGATAACAACAGCAGGCATTCAGTCACAGAGGCCATGGACCACACCTGTGCTCCGAGCCCAAGGACGACAGGGGGCGGGGGAAGAGCACCCGTCCACCAGGTAAGACAGAGGCTCCTGGAGGTAGGGACACCTGGCTGGGGGGGTGGGGGGCGCTCTGAAGCACAGGCTGGGTGATGCGCAGGCCGGGTGGGCCTGCCCTGAGCAGGCGACAGCTATAAATGCAAGGATGGCACATTCCAAGGGACTAGACGTAGGTGGCTGGTTTTCAGTGACTCAAGAGCCCCCGTCGCTGGGGTTCAGACAAAAGGCAGAGTGCCCTGAAGAGTCCCCGGGGAGGAGGGGACAGGCACGTGCCACCTGTCCCAGCCTCTTCCGACAAATGATGAAGGGGCGCTGGGGCGCGCGTGGGCCGGGCACCGGGGCAACGTTTCACCTGGGCCTACAAGCCACACGCTTCCCTGGCACCCCTCCACAGCCTCAGTTTCTCCTCTGTGTCTAGTCTGGAGATGTCCTCCTTTAAAGCAGCCATGTCTGCCGGAGGCGCCTGAGTAACCGGAAATAAGGATTACGTTTACCTGCAGCAGACGTCCTGCTGCAGTGACTGCTGGGTCTACAGGGAAGACCTGATGCTGAATCTTTTAATGAGAACAAATTAAGCTAGAATGACTTTAAAGCCCTGTCTGATAGATGACATACAACAGTGGGAACTTCCGTCAAATACCGGTGAACAGGCCACAGACAAAACGCCACCGGCAGAGCCGTGCAGCGAAGCCGCCCATACTTCACGTTTGCACACACACGTTGACACAGCTCCCGATGTCCACACTTATGTGCCCCCGTCCCCAAAGCAGGGTGAGAGGGGAACGCTCCAAACATTGGAGGGAGCATCAGGAATTTGGGGAAGAGTGATAGGGAGAAGGAATTATGCGTTTTCCTTTGATGAGAACAGGAAACACACACGCCCCCACAGTATAAACGGTGCGCCGGGGGTGGGGTGCCCGCCACGTCCTGTGGGCCAGCGGGAGCGGGATGTGAGCCCCGCGTTGTTTCCCGGCCCCACCGCCTGCCGGCGTGTGACGGTGGGGAGGCCGCGCGCCCGCCTGCAGCCCGCTTCCCAAAGCTGTCGGGAGGGGGTGTGATCCGCTCCTCCCCGACCAACAGGAACATGTGCGATGGTGCGAGTGGCTCCTCTACCAAGGACCAGCCGCTCCCGGATGGAGGCGATGCGCGCAGAGCGCACGCACGGTGGTCCGGGCGCCGCACCAAGCCCCTGGCTCACCACCGAGGACCGCGAGGGGGCCGCGCCCTCTCTTACCACTGCTGATGGCCGAGTTTGCAGTGACCGTGGCCTCACTCCACTGGTCGGCACTGGAGACGGAGTAGAAGCGCTGCTGCATGCCGTCTGGCCGGCTGCTGGAGGGGCCCGGGCTGACGCCGCTTGCCGTCCGAGACCCAGACGCGCTAGTGACATTCCCTAGGAATAAACAAGTCAGGTGAACACCACCTCGGACTGCAGACCCCAGAAGCCAGCACGACTTAGTCTAGAGGCCTACGTGCTCGAGCATGAGCGCACCTGGCACCGAGCGCGGCCGTCGTCCTAAGCAGAAAACCGAAGCATCGGGCAAAACGGTATGAGAAGAAAGTAAGGTGGGAGGGGGGGGGGGCAGGTGTCAGGGGGCCTGAGGACGCGCTGGGAACCCGGCCACACAACGCGGTCCTAGACAAAGACGCCGACACAACATCACGTCTAGGGGTAAAGATGGAAGACCCGCTTTTGGGAAGGGCCACAGTCCCCGCAGGCCAGCGAGAGGAACGCTGCGGGAGCCCCGCTGTGTCAGCACATCGACCTAAGTGAAAACGAGCACAAATGGCACCCAACTGCCTGGTGCCACAGAACGACTTTTCGCGGTGAAACGATACTTTACGATTAGCACAAATCAAAGCTCCTAAAAGTGACAGTGGAGGAGACGCGGACTCTCTTAAACCAGGTAAGTTTACGCTTACCCTTGAAGACACTGAGCCGAGGAAAAATAGCCTTAGCAAACGCACAGCATCGAGGGCCCGTGATGGAAAGGATCCCGTCCTACAGTTAATGATATGAGGCAGGTGCTCAGCATCAGAATGAATGATTGTCTGGTCAGGCCCATTTTAGACTCAAAAACATGATTAAGTGCCTTTCTCTAAAGCCCGGCCGATCACACCTTGCTGGGAGTGAAGTCATTTGTCGGATTATGCAGATCTTCAGAGGCATTAGGTCTGTTTTGTTTTCAACTTTCCCCTGATTATTTTAGTTTAGAACCAATTAAGTTCTAAATTGCTTTAATAGAAGGTTTCCATGGCACAGGATTTTAAATACATGGACTGGATTAGTAGTTCCCAAATCTGGCCAATTACCAGAATTACCCGGGGAGCTTTATGAACATAGAGGCTTCAAAATGTTTGCATTTTGATTCCGAAGGCCTGGGGGCGGGGCTTGAGAGACTGCACGTTTTCACTGATTCTGGTGCCTCTCCACCACAAACAAGGGACCTGATGGTAATCCCACGGAGCACGGCAAAGTCACAAAATCATCTACTGAAATGCCTATGTAAGCAATGTAACAAACACGCGACCAAGGAACACACAAGATTTTGCTTCAAGAAAGTATACTTCTACCTTAAGAAAGGATGCTGATTTTCTGCTGTTATCTGAACTGGGCACATTTGGAATGTCATGAGGGAGAGTATTCTAGGCAGGTCTGCCCGATTCCAGAAGGAGAAAAAAGAAGGCACAAAGCGACATATCAGGAATGGAAGAAAAGATGGACAGAGATCTTCCCAAGCGTGGTTCTCGGCCTGACAGCGGCAGCATCGCCCAGGAGCACGTTAGAGATGCAGACTCCCAAGCCTGGCCCCGGCACCTGCCATTTCAGAAGATCCTCAGGTAATTCTGAGCGTCCCGGCTAGAGTTCAGGTGCCCAGAAGTCACTACGAACGTGGAGCAACATGCAGGGCTGGAGTTCCCCATCACCTCGGGCTCCTGTCTAGCTGCAGGGTCAGGAGCAGGTCTAACCACTTACTTCCCTCCTAGCTCCGAGGCCCTGATTTTCATGCTTGCTCAGGCCCTGACGTCCTGGAAACACACACAGCCTGAATGGCAGTGTTGGCCAGCGGTCCCGCACCTGACCCAGGAAGGATCCCCACGGCAGCCCGGGGACGCGGGGCCAGGCGCTGGCATCTCAGCCACGGAGGAGCAGCCCAGGTCAGAGTGGGTGGCACTGAGGGGGACAGCACACGCTCCTCCCTGGGAACCTCCATGCCCAGGGCACCCTCAGCGGTTTCCCGGCTGTGCCTGTCCCCGGCGGATCCGTGATGGCGGGGCAGCGTCTGCCGAGCTGGTGAGCTGCTCCCGCTGGGCAGCGCAGTGCAGGTTTCCCCCCGCAGCCCACGTCCACACCTGGGTCCACCTGCCGCCTCCCTGCCCTGCTCTCCTGGGAGGGCACCCATTTGGGCTGCATCCTCTGGCTGCCCGCTGGCTGCAACCGGTGGGGAGCAGGCGGATGATGGGAGGGGCGTGCATCCAGGCTTCCTCTGTGAGTGCTCGTCTGGGGTGGGCTGTCCCTGAGGCTTGCCGGGCACCCCTCCCCTGCCCCCACTGGGCCTACCTGGTCGCTGTGCCATTTCTGCCAGTCCTAATGCCCACGCCTTCTGACCCTGGGCTTTCTCTTCCCTTTGGGGACCCTCATCTCATACACCTACACTCAGGAGCCACATGTGGGACCAGCCACCCCCCTTGGGGCCCCCGAAGCCATTCCCCCATCATCATGTGAATTCTCAGCAGACAGGGACTTCCGTTTTAACACTGCCAGCACTTTTATGGTAGGGGGAAGGGAAAGACAGCACAGCACGAAGGCCCACCCCACCACTGAGCCAGGCCCCCTGCGCCTGGCCGCCCGCAGACACGCCGGCCGTTTGGCGAAACTGTCAAGGAGAGGATTCTTTCCCCCCATGCTGCCCACTCACGCCTGTGACACATCATTATCAATGTGCCGGCGGCCCACAAGCCCTCACACGCGAGGCCAAAGCACCTGGAGAAACAAACACCAAGTTCACGGTCTCTGCTGATGGTGCCGGGACGACATCGCAGCCTGGTGCGCCCCTTCCCTCGTTCGTTTTCCCGGGAGTGTGGCTTCCACAGCACAACCAGCCTCAGCACCTCCTGACTCACTCCCTTGAAAAGGCAGAGGGCGTTCTCTGAGTGCATCTACGTGTCCCTGAGCCGGCAGCACTCCACAGGGGCCTGTGCGCGCAGCACAGCCACGTCAGTCCGGACTCTGCCAGGAACACGTGCGGTATTCTAAAGGAGGGATCAGATAAAGAGCTGCTCTTAGGTTGACAAATTCTTCATCTCAAGGCCAAACAGCCACTGTAGAAGGAGAAGAGTTCCTTGAAACGTATGCACTTAAGCCAACCTACGGTGCTGCTCATGTATCTGCAGCTGGTCTGCTGGTTTTCAAACTTCTGGCTGTTTGTCAGATGAAATTTTTAAAAAACTGTTTATTTATCTTTGAGAGAGAGAGACAGATAGCAAGCAGTAGAGGGGCAGAGAGAGGGGGAGACACAGAATCCAAACAGGCTCCAGGCTCTGAGCTGTCGACACAGAGCCCCACACGGGGCTCGAACTCAAGAACCGTGAGATCATGACCTGAGCTGAAGTCGGCACTTAACCGACTGAGCCACCCAGATGCCCCGTTGTCAGACGAAACTTTAAGCACAAGTTCAATATATGAAGCTGCGGGGGGAGCACCTCTGGGGTGCTGAGAGAATCCCCAAGGAATGGAACTGGGGCCTAGGTGGGTGAAGAACCTTCTGGCAAGACTGTGCGCTTCTGGTGTCTGATTGTGGAATTGGTGCGAGACCCAACAGAGCCGTATGGAATTCTTCAGAAAGCTGAGCCTTAGGGCCCTCCCGCCTGTGGGGGTTTCCTCATCCCAACCACACCCAAGTCCCAATTGCTAGACTACAGATAAACTCCATGACTGAGTTCTGGCCACGTGAACGCATGTACGAGAACACACGGTCACAACAGATCCAAAGACCTGTGGCCGGGAGTCTGGGGTGAGCTCATAGATGCACTTTTGCTTCGTACACAAGGATTTCTTTTTTTAAAGTAGAATTTGGGAGATTTCTTCTAAAAATCTGCGGTTGCTGGCATTGTTTGAAAAATAAGACTGGCAGCAGTAGGCTGGTGTCTGAGCTCTCTGAATCGACAAGGTAGCAGCCAGGGTGCAGAGCCGCCATCCCACCCAGCCCACCTCACTTGCTCAGCCTGTCTGCCAGGTTCTCATCTTTGGTAATCGTGGGTTATGAAATCTTTCACAGATACACGTAGGAAGAATCTCGTTTCAGAAGTAAAACGTTTCTGATTTTCTCTCAAGAAAGGAAATCTCTTTTTCATAAACACTATTTTAATGTTAGTTAAAACTTTTCTAAGTATCAAGTAATAAAAGATCAATGAGGGGCGCCTGGGTGGTTCAGTGGGTTAAGTGTCCGACTTTGGCTTTGATGATGATCTCACGGTTCATGAGTTTAAGCCACTTGTCGGGCTGTGTGCTGACAGCTCAGAGCCTGGAGCTGCTTTGGATTTTGTGTCTCTCTTTCTCTCTGCCCCTCCCCTGCTTGTACTGTCTCTCTCGTTCTGTGTCTCTCTCAAAAATAAGAATATTAAAAGTTAAAAAGATCAATGAACTGCGTGACATAAAAAAGTTACAAAGAGTAAAAAAAACACTGGTTTTGCCCTAAATATACAGCCTGGGGATCAACACCAACAGGCACTTGCCTTTAAATGTAAATACACGTGGCCAGATTTCATTCTTTCTCATTGCCGTGTAGTATTCCATTGTATAGATGAACTACATCTTCTTGATCCATTTGTCAGTTGATGGACACTTAGGCTATTGTTGAGAGCGCTGCTGTGAACATTGGGGTCCATGAAATCTGGCCATGTGTAGCAACATGGATGGACCTTGAGGGTGTTATGCTGAGCGAAATAAGTCAGGCAGAGAAGGACAGACACTGTATGTCTGCACGTATAGGAGGATTAGGAGGAACTTAACAGAGGACCGTGGGGTGAAGAAGGGGAAATAGTGGTGGAGAGGGAGGGAGGCAAACCATGAGAGACTCTTGAATGCTGAGAACAAACTGAGGGCTGATGGGGGTGGGGGGAGGGGAAGGGGGAGATGGGCATGGAGGAGGGCACTTGTGGGGATGAGCACTGGGTGTTACATGGAAACCAACTTGACGATAAACTATTTAAAAAAATGTAAATACACGAAGACACAGGTTTTAACTCTGAGGCAGACCAGTGGTCCACAGACTGGTCACGGCCCCGTGAAAGTAATCTCACTGGCTTGCTGTGGCCCGTGGAGCATCTCGCTCTACGTGTGAGTGGTCCTGGGCCCGTGGTCACTCTCCAAGGCCCTTCTACTTGCTTTGC